CAGGGCTGCAACAGTAGCAGACGTTGGGCAGAACCAGGTTTTCCTTTCCTTTCCTGGTTCTCTTGTCCGTTTAGTCCTGTTTCAGCACCACCAGCGCCCACGGCCTCCTTGTCCTGGGGAAGGGAGAGCATGTGGGGTGGAGGGCCGCCTGTCATTGCTTTTCCCACGCACACCACAGGGAACGTGGAGGATTGGCAAGGCTGGCAATGGGCTGATTAAATTACCTTTATGAGAAACAAGAGTTGGCATCACTGGACACCCCGCATCTCAGCATCACGCTGAGGTAACCGGTGCCTGTCGCCGTGTTGATGGTCAGGTTCTTTGTGCACTGTCCCACTGGGCTCCGCTGCTCCCTAAAACACAGCCTTGTGCACGCGCACTGCGCGTCTGCCTGCTTGCTTACTGTCTTGTCCCTTCATGGTTTTAATTTGCTGAATGTTGCGTGAGGTAGGAAGACTTTGATGATGTAAGAGGTGTGAGTTGGAGGAAAATAGAAAGCTGACTATGGTTAGAGGGGCATTTGTTCCCTACCAGCCAAAGCCCGGTGGGGTGAGAGGATGAAAAGAAATGTGACATTGTTTAAAATAACTCTTCCCCTCCCCCTTCTTCCCCAAACCCACTGCCATAAAGTTGATTCAGACTCATAGTGACCCTGCAAGACAGGGTAGAGCGCTCCCCAGGACTTGTGAGGCTGCAAACCTTTACAAAGGCCAACTACCTCAGTTTTCTTCTGAGGAGCACTCGTGGGTTCGAACTGCTAACCTTTTGGTTCCGTCAATGCCTAACCTACCTCTTTTGCCACTCAGCCCCCACCAAAGCATCTTTACATCAGAAAACCCCTGTGATCGTATGGAAGGAAGCTGGACCGTATAGTTAGGGGCCAACCTAGCTCTTCTGTTTGCTATGTAGCTTTGGACAAGGGCCATTCTCTTCCCGAATCTTCTTATCTGTATAATGGGAATAATTATATCTGGAACTTCTCGATTTGTTATTGTGGTTGTAAGAAGTAAATGACGTCACGCCTGTCATTTACGCATACGAAACCTAACAGGCCTGGCATAGAATAAGAGCTTATCATCTAGTTTCTTATAATGAGGCTGATTTCAGTAAAAGCCACATTGGAAAGCCCAACTTAGTCACCTATCTAATAACTTGGTGTAGTGGTCTGAGCTTGGATACTAACTGGAACCCCCCACCATGAACTGCTGCCTTTGTGAACTGAACTTGATTTCTTCCCTCTGTAAAATGAGGGTGATAGACCAAAACCAAACCCACTGCCATCGAGTCGAGGCCGACTCACAGCTGCCCTGGAGAACAGGGTAGAGCTGCCCCTATGGCTTTCTGAGACTAATTTAGGAGTAGAAAGCCCCATCTTTCTCTGGAGGAGTGGCTGTGGTTTCGAACTGTTGACTTTGTAGTTAGCACCCTGACTCATAACCACTATGCCACCTGGGCTCCCCAACATGAGACTACCATATATATTTGTGTGTAAGCTGAGTTTTTCAGCACATTTTTAATGCAGTTTTGTGGTAAAATCAGGTGCCTTGGCTGATATTCAGGTTGACTTATACTCGAGTATATACGGTAAGTCTTCCTAAGAACTGGCTTAGAGAATCACACTTAGTACAGTGGCCAGCACAGAGCCATGGGTGCTGAGCAAATGTTTGTTTTACTAGGGCCATGGGTCTCAACCACCCAGGAATCACTTGAGAGCTTTATAGAATGCACAAATGCCCACACCCTATCCTGAGAGAATCTGATAGACTAGCAATGGGCTGGAGTCTGGGCATCAATAGTTTTGAAAGCTTTCTGCAGAGATTATAATAATCAGCCAAGGTAGATAACGACTTCCTTGCAAATGACATTACAGTGTGTGTGTGTGTGTGTGTGTGTGTGTGTGTGTGTGTGTGTGTGTACAGGCTCAGGCTCACACACAGGCACAGGCACATACACTTTTTCTCCTTTTTAAAAAAAATAATCTGCCCTCAAAAGTCTAGCCATAATAGCAGAAGTTTTGGAGCAAGGCCAAAAATTCAATACACCTGCAGCAAAGGACTTGTAGTCCATCTTGTTCTGGGTTGGGTGGGAGGGGAGTGGGAAGAAGTATTCAAAGGGTCCTTTTGGAGTCTTGAACTGGAAAGGTGGTAAGCAGTTTAGCCTAAGCCTCATACATAAAATATAGGAACTCTCGGTAGGTTAGGTATTTATGTCTGGAGGTAATTCCAGGCTTGGGGCCCCCCAAGAGATATAAATTGAGACCTTGAGAGTTTAATGTGTGGGAAGAAAAGGTGTTCTCATAATGACACCTTAAAAATCAGGCCTCTGCTCAAGCCTAGGGAGAGGGAAGCCCCATCTGTAACAGCAGGGGTGGAGGGGTGGACAGCCTGGTCTCTGTGCTTATGTTTCTAAGATCTCAGGCTAGGTCATCCGAGATGCTTCTTTCTCCCCATAGGTTTCGGGTATTAGTTACCCAGTAAAAGCTGGGTTAATTTTACAACCCAAGTAACATTTCAGCCCAAAAACGTCAGCATTCCTCTAGGATTTATGCAATTAAACATGGAGAATGCCTGCAGGATTTTACAACACTGAAATGTCAATGTCTTTATGTCACGTATATGATATATTCACTTGTGTGTGTACTTAAAGGTTATGTTTCTAAAAAGAGCTTTGCAGTACAAACTGTTTGGAGGATTAAATGGAAGATATTGGCCCCCATCTCTGCTTCAGAATGGCTGTTTTAGCAGACAGAGGGTCAAAAGCAGCTGAAAACTCATGTCTCTGGATCATCAGCTTGATCGGGTTCTGTCACCTGGCTCTCTGGACTCCCCCGCAGCACCGGGGATGTCTAGGCCATAGGCCATAGTTTCTTGTTCTAAACTAGGGCCTTGGTAAATAACTTCTTCAGATGGCCTCTTAAGGTTGTGAATACTTGGATAGTTGTCCAATGTTACCTCAATAATATTTCATAAAACCTTCACCTCTTATGGTGGGAGCTCAGATTTTAACGTTTTGTTAGTAGGAATGTGCAGATGGCGCAGGACTTGGCAGTGCTTCATTCTGAGGCACACGGGATTGTGATGAGTCGGCGCCCCACGCAACAGCACGTAAGGATGATGCGCGAGTTGCCATCAGTCAACTCATGGCAAGCCCAGGGGTGCGGACTCCAACTGCTCCTAAGGGTTTCCAACGCTGTAACCTTCCAGAAGCCGATCACTGGCCTGACCTCCCTAGTGTCTGTGGGTGGGTCTGAGCACCTCATCCTTCTGCAAGTTGTTACTCTTACATGCCGTCGAGTAGTTCTATCCCATAGCAACCTTATGTGCAACAGAACCCCCCCCCCCCGCCCCATCCCCGCACCATCGGCACAATTGTTATGTTGGGGCCCACTGGTGCAACCATTGTGTCGGCTGGTCCACTTGCGCCATGCAGAGGCTTTCAGCTCCATCAGAGCCGTAAGAAAACCATGGCTCCAGGAGGTCCGAGAGCTGCCCTTTGAGGTTGTGGTGTGGCACTGAGTCTGCCGCACCTCCCGGCCAGCTCATCTGTGAGCAGAGTCAGCATTGCCTGGTCCCGAACTGCCCTCGCCCTCTTGGATGTGTTGGGGCCCATTGTTGCAGCCACAGTGTCAATCCATCTCATCAGGTTCTCCCCCTTTTCGGTTATCTACGCGACTCCGTGTGATGGCCTCCTCTGTCAGTTGGTGCCTCCTGGTCCAAAGTAGAAGAGACACAGTCTCTGTAGCCTCCCTTCTAAGGAGGAATTCAGGCTGCACTTCCTCCAAGACGATTTGTTTGTTCTTCTGGTAGTCCATGGTATAGTTAATATTCTTGTACAGCATCACAATTCGAAGGCACCCACCAGTTCTTCAGCCGCCCTCTTTCCTCGTCCAGCTCCTGTTGTGCGCGCAAGCGGATTGACAAAGCATGGCTTGAGTCAGCAGCATCAAGTCGCCAAAGTAAAATCATGACTCTTTTAAGTCTTTGGCGAGGTCATGTTGCTCACTACACCCTGTCCGGGGCTCGATGACACGTCTTAATTTTGGGTGCTGCTCAGTCAGATCGGCCTCACCACCACCCTGTGTCGGGCAGAGTAAACGCCACTCGGTCCCGCGCCACCTTCCCAGTTGGTCTTATGTTTGCGCCATTGTGGGAGCCACTGTGTCAGCTCATCTTGTCGGGCGTCTTCCTCTTTGTCTCTGCCCCTGTACTTTCAGTTAGAAGAAACCAAAAAAGAAAAATGTGACTTCATTCAAGCGACTGATTGAGTCCCGCCAGACTGTCAAGGAGGCAGCTTCCGTGTACCTGAAGGCAGGCCGTATCCATGGCCGGGGCCTCTTGATTGGCTGGGATCTGCTTTGGGGAAACAAGCCTGGCTTTTGCCTCTAGATTTCCTCCACTGGAGGGCCTCCTCGCAGACTCTCCAGGCCAGGGTTGGCCCTGGCCCTGTTTCTGCAGCGTAGGGACGATGGCGCTGAGCAGTGAGGAGTCGCATGCTGGGCTAGCCCTCGGTTTCTTTCTACACGCACCCAGCTCCTCCCCGTGTGGGTCCCCCTAATTGACATGTCAGTTGGAGGGGATCTTGTGGATGATACGCCCATGTCTTTGTAACAAATGAAGCAGAAATCATCTCTGCTTAAAAAAAACAAAACAAAACCCCCCAAACAAAAAAACCTGTAGCACATGTGCCCAGATTTCCAGCTAACTCGTTTCCTTTTTCCCTCCTAAAACGACAGCATCTTCCAGCCCACCACCAGCTGCAAAAATAAAAGTGTTTTCTCCCACGTTTAAGGATGATTTCTGTGCTTTGGGGATGCTTTTTCTGGGGGTATAGGAAACTTGACCAACATGACCAGCAGATGTTTTAGGTGGCGGATGAACTGAGCCAGATCTGGCTCTCGTAGCCTTGTCTGAGAGATACTGTGCCCAACTGCACCCCCTAGCGATCCCTTGGGATATGATTTGCCCTGCTACAGCCCCTGGTGTTTATGCTTAATTTTTTAGAGATGAGTATGAAGAAGATGGATTCTGTCAGCCATACAGAGGGATTGCATGTGCAAGATTTATTGGCAACCGTACTGTCTATATGGAGTCTCTACACATGCAGGGGGAAATAGAAAACCAGATCACAGGTAAGTAACACGATGGAAGTTGTACTTAGGCCTTGAATGATTATTTTTCTCACCAAGAGGTTTTCGAGTCCTGCTCTTGACAATGTACTGGGCTAGGCATGGGGTCTGGGAACAGCAACCTAAAAAAGCCAGAGACGTGATCTCGGTGCTCTGGAATTTACATTAACATCACTTACTGGGGGTGCTCTGAGAGGAAAAGGAAGCTTTGAGAAGTCTCACATCCATTTAGAGCCTCAATAAATATTACAGGGTGCTTTCAGTGTTCCAGAAACTGGGCTGAACACGCCGGGTACGATGGGGCGGTGAATAACCACGTCTATCTCTGCCCTCACAGAGCTTACTGTTCAGAAGCAATGTGCTATAGAGTGAGAGGGGATGAATTTAGGGTCTGGCTGACCACTAATCCCAGAACTGCCATTAGTGTGCCGGTGGGGCAATCACTCACCCTCGATGAATGTCATTCTTCATCTGTGAAATGAATGATGGGGCACAATGATCCTAGCACAATGATCCTAGCTCTTGTCCTGCATTGGCTTTCTGCATTTTCCCCTTCGTGTGTGTGTGTGTGTGTGTGTGTGTGTGTGTGTGTGTGTGTGTAATTCAATGTATTTTTATTTTTTATTGAAACCTAATTGTGAAACACTGGTTCACACAAGTTAGGTACAGTTTTGCTGGTAGTTACAGCAACTCTGTTCTTGTAGTTATGAGGCCTCTGTGTCATGTACCCTTGGAAATCTATTCAAATTTGTTTCGTAAAGGTTCTAGTAGGGTTGCCAAATTGAGCCAAGAGAAATAATAGGATACCCAGGTAGAATTTCAGCTAACTCCAACTAAGTTTTGCTCTCCCTCATGAAGAGATCACTGAAGATATGGGTGCTATAACAAGGTGTGGTGGAGAAACCAGATGGTGCCTGGCTATCAGAAAGACAAACACCTGGAGTCTTAGAGGGTTTTCTTCAAACAAGCATCCAAGTAGGGGATCTGCTAAGTCCCCATGGAAGAAGCATACCAGGATGTGTGATCCAAGGATTGTAAATAATGAAACCCAAATCTGAAGGAGGGAATGATATCAGAGTTTAAATTGTGAGCACCAGTTTACAGAAGCTATGGATGGTAGTGGAAACCCAAAATCCATTGGCAGGGTCCACACATGAATTAAGTCTCCTGTGAATTCCCTCTGGCCCTATTTAAGGGATGTGAATAGCCATGCCATTCATGTTGATTCCATTCGATTAGATTGACTTGTTCCTTCAACATCTCCTCCCATCAAGCCTGCCTTCTGGGACTTCACAGTCGTCGTTCTCTCTCTGGAAAGCAGGAGAGAGCATTGTAGAGTCGATCATGGCAGATGCAGTTAGGTTAAAATTTAATATCCTATCATTTGATCTCCCTTTTGACCCATAGTTACGTCATTGCCGTTTTCAGGGGTGGGCACATAGAACAGTAGAAGGTCCAGAAGCTGTGCCCTGTGGGGAACGTGAAGGCCCTGGGTCAGGAGGATGTAGCTGACACGGAAGCCCCTCTAGTTTTCAAGAGGGCAAATGCAAAATGGCCTGCTTTCTCTTTGACTGGTGTGTTTCTTTGATTTGTCTAGTCATCGTTGTTGAGGTGTTTGTTTTTTTTATTTGTTGGCTTGCCCTGTATGTTTTTTGTTTTTTTATGGTTGTGTGTGTATGGTTTTCTGTGTATGAAATCCAGGGCAGGTAGCTCTCCAGAGAAAGTAACTGGCGAGGGGCATGGCAAGGGAGAAAAGGAGGAGTTAACAGCAGTGAGTCTGAGAAGAAAATGTTCTGAAATTGATTGTGGTGGTGACTGCACAAATCTTCCTTAATATAACTGAACAATTCAATTATATGATATGTGGAGTATCTGCCAGTACATTCATTTAAAATAAATAAAAATATAGGATATCCAGTTAAATATGAATTTCAGATAAACTGCAAATAATTCTTAAGTGTAAATTTGTCCTAAATGCTTGTCCGAGCTTTAAATGGAATGAGGCATCTTCTAGTCTTCCTGGCAACCCTAGCATTTCAGAGAGCCAAGGGCACAGGAACAGCAGAACCCCAGAAACCCCGCCCTGCGGGGATGGGAAGGCCTTGGGTGGGAGAGGCACGACTGGATGATACAGCCGCCCCTACCGAAGCCTTCCCTCCCACTTTCCAAAGGGAAATTGCCTGTGAATTCCCAGAGAGCAGGCCTGATGGGGAAGAGATGTTGAAGGTACAATTCAACCTAATCTAAGAGAATGTTAACGAGCTTTTAATAGTCACAAAATACTAAATGAGAGGTTGTGATATAAACATTTGGTAACCCAGTTATAATAATCTGCTCATGGCGATTTTCAGTGAACATCCATTTACTGGAAAGTATTGCGCGTACAAAGGAAAATCCATTTCCCTCGTTTAGTGGCGCGTTTCTCAAACTTGTTTGGCCAGGGCCCTTGTTTCTCACAGCGCTCTGTGTCCCATTGAATTAGTGCTCCCAGGAACACACTCTGGGAAGCCCGGCTGTCACAGCCTCAGAGTGGCTTCACGAGGTGTCCAAGCTCCTTGTCACAGGAGGGGCTCAGAGGGGGACCGGGTGCCCCTCTCTGTGTGTGGACACTCTATCAGGCCCCAGGGCCACTTCTCTTGTATGGTGGCCACTGGGACAATTGGGTGGGGCCCTTCAAGATCTGCCAGGTGGGTTACCTCAAGATGGAGTTGAAGCATTCAAAGTCACAAAGACATTAAGCAGTTTACCCAAAGTCCTCCAGCCAGTCGGAGACCAGCCACCGAACTAAGTTGTGTGATCCCGCAGAGCCCCCCAGCTCCGCCCCGCAGCTGTCAGATGTTTTAGAAGGCTCCCAACACTAATAAAAAGCACCGGATGAAACACAAAGTTCTGTTGCTTTGTAGTAAAAATGAAAAATATATTGTACTTTAACCTAATTAATTCTTTTTATTAGGAAACGGTACATATGTAACCTAATCTTGTTTTTTTAACTTTGTAGTCGAAATGATTTTGTTTCTGCCCCCCTCCCCCACCATCCTGCCCCCACAAGCCGGTGCAAGTAAGCTGCTCAGACATCTGAAATGAATCTCCCTCTCTTGGCGCTGTCTGTGGGAGCCCGGCAGATTGTGCCCCATGTGGGTTTCGCCCCGGGTCGGTTGGCGAGATGACCAGGGAGATAAACCCTGGCCCTGGGAGTCAGTTCACTGTGTTTGTTTTTCAGCGGCCTTCACCATGATTGGCACCTCCAGCCATTTATCGGATAAGTGCTCTCAGTTCGCCATCCCCTCCCTGTGCCACTACGCCTTCCCGTACTGTGACGAGACCTCGTCCGCCCCCAAGCCCCGCGACTTGTGTCGCGATGAATGTGAAATCCTGGAGAACGTCCTGTGTCAGACAGAATACATATTTGCCAGATCGAATCCCATGATTCTGATGAGGCTGAAACTGCCCAACTGTGAAGATCTCCCCCAGCCTGACAGCCCAGACGCTGCAAACTGCATCCGCATTGGAATTCCCATGGCGGATCCCATAAATAAAAGTAAGTGGTCACCCCGAACCACCTCCCCTTCGGCCCTTGCTCCATCATCATTTTTCACGCTGGCAGGCAGAGGACCTCCTGGCGGGCTGACCACCATGCCAGGGGCTGAGCGTACAGGGGTGAATTAGACACAGGGCCTGCTCTCCAGAAGCTTCGGGAAGACCCACAGTGGACCCGTTGCGGCCGCGTCAGTTCCAGCTCGTGGCGACCACGTGCACCACCATAAGACCGTGCTCCATTGGGTTGTCAGGGACTAGTCTTTCACCAGGCCTTTCTTCCACCGCACCCTGGGGCCGACTTTTTACTTAGCAGCAGCCGCACACATTAGCCATTTTTACTGCCATCTTGAAGACAACACTTCCGCTGAAACCTGCTGTCTTTGAGTCAACCCTGACGCCAAGCAGCCCTCGAAGGACAGGGTAGAGCGGCCGGTGTGGGTCATCAAGACTGGGGCACTTTATGGGAGCAAAAAGCCTTCTCTTTCTCCTTCAGAGCAGCGGGTGGCTTCGAACTGCTGACCTTTCGATTAGCAGCCTGACGTGTAACCCGCTGCACCGCCAGGGCTTCTTCAATAATGTAAAAATATTGGGTTGCTTATACTCTCTCCCTTCACTACCACCTCCTCCCCCAAAACAACAACAATTACAAAAAGCAGTTTCTCTGTGTATTTCCAATTAATATATGATTAAACTCACTGGCACTTTTTAGTCCCCTTTTGGTACTGAATACTTGTCATTAGATGCTTTGATACATCTGAAATGCTTAGAACTATGCTTCCCAAAACCCAAGTCAGACCCATTGCCAGTGAGTCTGTTCCCACTCATGGTGACCCTGTCGGTCAAAGCAGAGCTGCCTCCTTGGGTTTCCCTGCGGCGTTTGACCTTTACAAAGGCAAAACTGCACATCTTTCTCCTGCAGAACTCTGGTGGGTTCAAACAGCTCCCCTTTCAGTGAGGAGCCAAGCTTTTAATCATTGTACCTTAGCACCTACCGAATGGCTCACCAATATTATCCAGTATCATCCTGGTTGTTGCTATCGGTACCTTTGAGTCGGTTCCGACCGATAGCCACCCTATGCACAACCGAAGGAAACACTGCCCAGTCCTGCACCTTTCTCGTAATTGTTCCCAAGCCCGAGCTCATTGTTGCAGCCACTGACTGCAGTTGACGTGGTCATTCCATCTCCTACTACCCTATCAAACATCCCATTTATTGCAGCTCAAGAGATTCTGCAGCCCTTTCAGGTGACAGCTTCTCTGGTCACCTGTCAGAGTGACTCAGTCATCCTGATTCTCCAGGGCATCCCGTCCATCGACACAGAGAAGCCCATCATGCACTGCCTCCAATAAACGTGTTGTGTGAATTCTCCATCACATGATCCATGGCTAAGATCAACAATCAGCAATGCAAGGAAAAGTTTGCCTTGAACCTTCCCTGAACCATTCACAAGAAATTACCCTTGTGCCCCCAGGTCCCAGCCCAGGTCCAATTTCGGCTGCATTCAATATTAAAAATACTTGTGGGGGAATGGTTTGGTTCCTGGAGCATAAGCTTTAAATCCTCCCAGGAATGCAGCTGCTGGACAGGCCGTGGGTGGGAGCCCAGCAGGAAGCTCTGCCCTGGTTGCCCCACCCCCAGCCCCCTCGGATGGCCAGGAGAGGTTTCAGCAAAAGGTTCATCCCGTGCCCTCCCCTCCAGAGAGCCCGAATTTCCTCGGCTTTTTTCTCCCAGTGTGTGCTTCCCTTTTGTGTTTTTCAGATCACAAGTGTTATAACAGCACAGGCGTGGACTACCGGGGCACCGTGAGTGTGACCAAGTCGGGGCGGCAGTGCCAGCCGTGGAACTCACAGTACCCCCACACGCACACCTTCACCGCCCTCCGCTTCCCAGAGCTCAACGGGGGACATTCCTACTGCCGCAACCCTGGAAATCAGAAGGAGGCTCCCTGGTGCTTTACCTTGGATGAAAACTTCAAGTCCGACCTCTGTGACATCCCAGCATGTGGTAAACAGCCAGCCATGGCCTTTAATTGTGTTTTGTCACCTTGCCAAGATCTTCCCCTCCCCCTTCTCCCACCTCCTCAGGAGAATTGTACAAAAGAGACAAAGGAGCTAGATGGTGTTTGTCTGATCTTTAGGCTGGATATTGTTGCTGGTTAACGTCTAAGCAGCTCTGGTGACCTAGGGGTGACGCTGGGCAGCTAAGCTCAAAGCCTGCAGTTCGAAACCGCTTGCCGCCCGCCCCATGGGAGAAAGCTAGGGCTTTCTACTCCCGTGAAGAGTTACAGTCTCGGAAACTCACAGGGACAGTTCTCCGTGAGTCAGGGTTGCTGAGATGCCAATGAGAAGGTGACATTTCTGATAGTGTTCGATACATGCCCTTTACAGTTAGGTCTCTTTTCTTTGGAAGGGGAATAAGTAGGGAGCTCTTCCGTCAGTTGGCCAGCTAACTGTGTTCCAATTGCTCAGCCTAGATGAGTGAGCATCTCCAGCCCTTCTTCGGTTTCTGGCACCGTTTCAAATGGTATTCCATGACCTCCTGAGTCCCTGCCTCACGCCAGATAGTCCTCCAGGCACAGGCAGGTGGCAAGGACCCGTAGGTGGAGTGAGCGAGCTTGAGCACATCAAGGAAAGACGTGGATGCCCTTGAATCCGAAGCCCCATGAGCAAGGTGAACTCAGAAAACAACAGGACCGAATCAGGTAGCATCTGTGGGCCATGGGAGGGAATGAAGCCATTGTCGATTGGGGAGCCAGTGGAGTGTTTTGAGCGAGAGGGGGTCCTGATCTACCTGATACTGTAAAAGAAGCACTTTGACTATATGGTTGTGATGACCAGACGACGGATGGACCAGTCATCAGTGAAATACGAAGGAAAGTTAGGATAAGGAGCAGCTCCGGTCTTATGAATGGAATTGCTTTTTCCTGATGGAGAAAAAGCAGGTTGAAGGAGCTTGATAAGACCTGTAATCCGGAGTGAGTTTGTGTTTCTGCTGAATTTGAGATACTTTCTAGCAATCCACGGATGTCTGGTGGCACATGGATCGAGTGTTGGGCTTCTGACCACCAGGTCATTGACACAAACTCACCTGCCACGCTGCAGGAGCCAGCGTTTCGGTCTCGCAAACCCTAAGCAAGTCTGTAAGTTCATATCTGAAATAACCCCTAATTCCCTGGAATAGAGTAAATGGTTAATTCATATTAGTATCACTTTAATATAATACTCTATAGTTCACATAAAGGTGAATGCTTGGTCTCAGTTCAGCAAACATTTAATGAGCTCCAATAATGGGTCAGGGGCCGTGAAAGAGGGATAAAAGGTGATCTGCCCCTTTATGGAGCTACAATCAAAAGTTGAGTCAATCACAATGAAGGACGCATATGTGATATGATAGAGATGAGCACAACTGCCAGGGGGCGAAGAAGAGTGGGCACTAAAACACGATGGGTGGTGAGAATGTGAAAACAGACCCCTATGGCGAAACCTCGGGGAACCGTGAGCTGGAATCAAGTCCACGGCAGTGACTGTGGTTTATGAGGTTTCCCGGTCTGTGGTTTCGTTGACATGTGGTTGCCTTGCTGTCGTAGAGCCTCTTTCTGCAAAATGGTTTTATGGAGAGTTGAACATACCAAGTCGGACACGGACTGCTCTTGTGTGCTGCTGGGTGATAGTTTTTTCATCTCAAGAAGAACAAAAATGAGTTAGGAAGTTTGCATTGGTTACTTCAAAGCAAAGTGTCCCATATGTTTCAATGTCATGCACTTCATTCTGTTAGCTTTTCCACATTATATTCAACGTTGAAATAAAAGCAAAATGTAGCTTTGCAACTATACAGCCCATCCTTCCTCTGGGTAGGATTGAAGATTTACAGAAGAGCCAAAGATAAAAGCAGCATTTATTGCATTCCACATGCCAGTCTCAGTGCGCGGTGTTTGTGAGTGCTTTATTTATACTTATGGCTGCACTTTGGCAGGTACTACTAATGCCATTTTGCTGGTGATGAAACTGAGGCTCCAGAGCCCAAGGTCACCCAGATAGTACATAGCAAGTCTGTCTGATCTCTAGGCTCAGCTTCTTGCGCCTCCACTGTGCTGTCTCAGGATATCACTGTGTGTCCACAAAGAGACCAAATGAAGCCCTTAGAAATGTTATTTTCAGAAGAAACACTTTGTCCACTCTTACTAGGTGAATGTCATTATCCTTTAAGTGATTCCTGACCCTTAATTTCTAAGTAATACCCATCAAGAGTACAGAGGGAATTTGCCCCTAAACTGGAAAGTGCTGGTCATCTCTGATTTAAGGACTCAAGATCTACAAGGGACTTTAAAAAGTTAGTGGGAAAAAATGCTGTCATTTTAAAATTCTGTTTCCCACAAACTTTTTAAGTCCCATTGTATTACTTTAAATACTTTTTTATAAATTATACCAAAGAGTATTGGTTTTCAGTTCAGTAATCTTCCTGAAACGATCACACATTCTGAGGGAAGAAAACAAACATTTTGGTTTTTTTTCAGATTTTACAGAAAGATCACTTACATTTATAAAACACCTACTAGGTGCCTGCCACTGAAAATTTTCCACAATGAGTAGTCACGGAAGCAGCAGTCAAGAAATCAGACAACACGTTGCACTGGGTAAATCTGCTGCACAAGACCTCTTTAGCGTACTGAAAAGCAAGGGTGTCGCTGTGAAATTTAAGGTGCCTGCCATGCTTGTGAAAGATGGACATCGACCAAGGATGACCAGAGAAGAATCGATGCGTTTAAATGATGGTGCTGACGACGAAGAACGGTGTAAGCACTCTGGGCTGCCAAAAGAACAAACGAATCTGTCTTTGAAGAAGTCCAGTCAAAAGGCCCCTTGGGAGCATGAATGGCAAGACTTCATCCCACATATGTTGGGCATGTTACCGAGAGAGAGCCGTACCGACAATACCCTCTTTGGTAAAGTAGAAGGACAGGGAAAAAGAGGAAGATCCTTCAGGAGGTGGATCGATAAAACGCTGCTTCCGTGAGCTCAAACAATCGTGAGGGTGGCACAGGCCTGGCGGTGTTTCATTCTGTCGCACATGGGATCCCAAGGAGTCGGGCTTGACTGCGTGGCACCCACATACTGCAATGCGTGTGCCTGCCACTCAGTGATTTACACACTGAGCGCTCTCTGTAACTCCAACCACACCATGGCGTGTTATTAACATCTGGTGAGGTTCAAAAGGTCTAAGGGACTTTCTAGACCACACCATGATAGGATTGGGCTTTGAACCCTCATCTATCTAAACACAGCTCAGATCAAACTCATAAGCTCATGCTGCCTCCCCAGACAAGGGACTAGCTTCCACTTAAAAGTATTCAGAGATAAACACTAGAAAGACCATAGACTGAGTCTCTGGATTCCACCATGCTGATTCCCATAATATATTATGACATCAAAGAATTTTTCCTTGTTGGTGCAGAAATCCATCACAGGACGACTCGCTATGCTGTTATCATTGTAACGCACACAGTGCTCTCAGAGACCTTCAGAAGATTTCTTTCTATCAGTCTTCAGAGGACACGACTGTTGTGCTGGCGACCCCTTAATTCAGGTCCTTTGAAAATGATTTAGATGCAAGTGAAATCTAGAAGTGACAAGGCAGTTGTCACCAATTGGAATTTAAAAAAAAGAAAAGAACATTTTCATCTCATTGTGAAAGGAAACAGTGCCTCTTGAATTCTTCACACCAAGCCACAAACACATCCGTTAAAGGAGCTGCGGATCCTTGACATGTGATTGATAAGAGGCTGCTGAGCGGCTGGTAGCTCCCCGGGGTGAGGATGGGGGAAGAGAGCAGGGCAGCATCAGCTGCTGCCCTGCTAGAGGCTTCTCATCATCACCCCTCCGGGTCCCGCCCTCTAAGAAAATCTTCATAAAGTAGAACCCTGCTTCATGGCACTTTTGAGAGCACTCGGTATTTTTTCCCTTCACTTCATCCCCATACAATCCAGGAATAATAAACGAGGTAGGAAATTCCACCATAATTTATCAGACAGGAAAATTACATGATAAGGCCCAGAGAAGTACCAACTTGTCCAGGCTCACACAGACGAGTTCATAGGAACCAGACTCCTTCCTGTCTCTATGAGGATCGCTTTGTGCTCTGCTTCAGTAGTGTTTTCAGCCCAGAGCAATGTGCCTCACAGAACAGTTGACAATGTCTGGAGACATTTAGGTTGTCACAACTGGTAGGGGAGAAAGTAGATGCTACATGCATCTTGTGGTTAGAGACCAGGGATGCTGCCAACCATGCCACAATGCACAGAAGGATCGATTCCCACCTAGCAACAGTGTTGTGAGAGGCCCTTTTCTACATTACACAAGTATAGAGCATAGAACAACAATCATATTTAACAGCAACAGCCGTTTATTTATTGAGTGCGTTCAAAACTATGCACAAGGTTTTTAATGCATTCATGTAAAAAAGAGTTTATAACCTTTTGAATAGGGTTTTATTAGACCCGGTCTACAGACAAGAAAGAAAACAGATTTGGAGAGGTTATGTAACTGATCCGAGTCACAGTGTGAATGAGAAGTAGACTTGAGACTCACCCCTATGATGTGTGTGTTCTCATCGACAGTGATTGAGATGGCGTAAGCTGGTGTGGCAGGGTTGAAATAAGACTTTTCCTTCTCCTTCCCCAATGGGGCTGAGTCTCAGGGGGAATGTTTCTGCATTCTTTACTGTAAGTCTAAGTTAAGGAGATTTCAAAATCTCCATGGGGTTTCTCATTTTCCCACTGATAACTTTTGTTTTAGTTTCAAGCAAGCACAGCTAAAAAAAGAAAAGAAAAAAGCAGGGGCCTAATTAAGTGCAGAATGCAAGCATTTGCTGTACTTTGTAGAATAAAAGCAGTTGAGAGCAGTATGTCACAGATTGTTTTATCTGTGAACTTTCACTCTAGGACAGAAGATAAAATTAAACACAACCAAATATATCTTCTATGAATTCTGGGAGTTGGCTCTACTAGG